ACACACACACACACACACACACACACACACACACACACACACACACACACACACACACACACACTGTTAAAACTGGGAAATGGGAACAGGATGTTCTTTGGCAGTTGCCAATTGCTTTAAACCACACATAAAGATTCAGGCAGAAACAAATTTAGACTTATTTAGAGAGCAAAGGTTTGAGGATACGTGTCTATAGGGATCAATCACAAACCCTGAGTCTGTGTGAAAAGTGTAATGTGTGGAGAGCAAACGCTCTGTAACTATTAAAAACAGCTGGAGAGGGTGATGGAAAGATTTCCTGTTGAAAATAGAGGTGTGTGTACGGGTGCAAAGAAAAGAAGCACAGGAGATCTATCTCAAAATCCATGCAGTGCCACTGCAGAAATCAATTTATTTATATGTTATTTATTGAACTTTTTTTATATCACTGTTTTCAATACTGCTAATAATAATAATAATAATAATAATAAATCAGCATATTTGCATGATTTCTGAAGGACCATGTGACACTGAAGACTGGAGTTAAGGCTGCTGACAAATGTAGCTTTGCCTTCACAGGAATACATTATATTTAAAAAAAACTGTTACTTTAAATTGTAATAATATTCCACAATATTACAGTTTTTAATGTATTTTTGATCAAATAAATTTAGCCTTGTTGAACATAAGAGACTCTTTTTTTTCTTGAAAAACATTGAAAAAAAACAAAAACTTACCGACCCCAAACCTTTGAATGTTAATGTATATTTAAGTTGCAAGAGCTGATTTGTAGGATTCTAGAAATAATGCTTTGAAAATCATCACAGAAAGCCATTTCACACAAACAACTCTAGACACCCAGGAATGCATGAGACAAGTTAGCATACACATGCAAACCTGTTTCATCTCTGTGGCCCAGATGAAAGCATTTTCAGCATTTTATCTCGTTTGTGGATGTGATTTATGCATATAGAGCTATAGTCTCCCTCATGCTTTGCTCCTGTCTCTTTCTCTCACACTTCCATCTTTCAAGACTTCATCTTTTTGCATCACTTAAAAAAGTAGGGATGTCTCACTCTGCTTTGAATCATTTCTTCAGTCTCATAATTGATAACTGATAATTTTTAATAATCCTCTTTAATGAACTCACGCACAAACACACATGTATAGGTGCTACTCCATAATTAGTTGAAATTGTTAAGTTATGCTGTTTGCACTTAAAGAGATTTTCCTAAAAGTGGTCTCAAACATCTTGGTGAAAAAACACACTGTTATTGTATAAAGTACTGTTATTGGCTGATGACATTGAAGTAGACACAGTACACATGAGCGCTACATGAATATAAATGCAACTACTGTAGATATTCCCATGTATAAAGACCCATTTATACCAAATGATAAGCTTGACATTGTAAAGGCATAGCTACCATTCAAAAGAGGTTTGTAAGACTTCATGTTTTCTCTTATGTTCAATATTGTGAAACTTTTGATCATTTAACGTGTCCTTGCTGAATAATATAGATATATATCTTTTATTTCCAATTCATTTCACTACTGCTTTTCACACTTTCCAGAGAGAAAGCTGAAGGCAACAATGATGATGAGAATCTCATCTTGTAGCTTCTTTTTGCTTCAGCCATTCTATCAGGCAAGTATTTCAAGATCCGAAATTCTTTTAAAGCTAAACCTAAAGAATCAGAGTCTGTGGGGCAAGAGTGTTAAACAGGTCAACTTGTGGGTCAAAAACGAGTCTTCTTCCCTAAAGAGGTGTCTTGTAGCGTCAGTCTTATCTGATGGCAACAGACATCAGGTGTTGTTGGCCAACAGAAACAAACCTTCCCCATTTCTGTGGCTGAAAAGGGAATTTGGAAAGCCATCCTGCCTGCTGTCCATTTCACTGGGATGTTTTGGCAGGAGGGCAGGTGGTGATGTGTCTGTTGCCCTATAAACTGTTCCTGTCAGCTCAATACGAACAGAGAATATTTTCCAAACAAGAGCTGGAATAAAGTGTTCCATGGAGATGGAGAGACAGGAAGAAAAAGAAGGTGTACCAGGATGAGTACAATAGAGGCAAATGTCAGATGGTATTTCTAAACCTCTCTGGGATTCGTTCAGAACCAGTTCGTTCAGAGTTGAACCTTTCATCCAGCTTAAAATACATCGGATGTTTCACAGAAAAGGACAACGTTACCAGAATGAAAGCTCTAAACCTCCATTCCTCTTCTCCAACAGCCCGTGACATTGAAGATCTTCAATCTTCTGTTCCGCAGTCAGTTTTACTCAATAACGTCAAAGACAATACGTAGAGAAACGGATCCCAGACTGATGCTCAATTTCCCTGCGGAAACACGTGTCATTCAAGCTTGACAGGTTTTGTCCGCAGCTATGGGAATAAGCCATTAGTCACACTAGGGTCGCACGGAGCCCACAGAAAATACTTGTATTGCTGCCGTTGACATTTCTGCATTAAGAGTGTTATACCCAGACATGTCCTTGCAAACTCTCAGATTCAGTCACATGCTCTTGGGAATCACTTTTCATTTGTCAAGGGGACATTATCATTTTAGAAAGCCCTCAGGGGATGTGGTAATATCACGTGTGACTCTCTAAAAATGCTTGGTATAAACGTGTAACCAGCATAATGCATACCATACATGCACAAAAAATGTGGGCTTATTTGTGCTCACATGCCAGTGTGAACAAGGAGTCACCTTGACGCAGTCTGTATTTTGAGACGTATTAGGCCCCACCAGGCCAGCCCAGAACACAACCGCCTGTCAAAATTCAATGCAAATGATCACAATAATACTCTCAGCGCTGTGATTAGGGGAGACCTGTTAGGCAGCAAACAGGAAACCCAGCAGCTCAAGGGCACAAAGACGCTGCCCAGCAGAGACCACCTGCTCATCTGACACCAGCACTACAGACACGATCCAGTTCAATCCCGGATATACCTGCTGTACAGACAGGAGATCTCTCACCTCTCTCCTTCGCGCTCTCTTCATAGTGTATTTTCTATTTCTGTTTATCTCGCTGCTCACTTGTTTCTTACAGGAATCTGAGGAGCTTTCTAATTCAGTTTGTGTCTGTTCCTGACATTTGTCTAAGTCAATGGTAGTAATCGACAGGGAGGCATTTTGTCTTCTGGATTTGTGTGAGTTTGTGAGGACTGGGTGATGATATCAAATTTCTGAATAATCCTGATAATGATTGTTAAAATTCCAAGATCTTTTCCTCAATGGCTGCATTAAAAATGACTTGAGATGTGAATGGGGTTGCAGTCTGTTTTGAATGTGATGCAATAAAAAGATAAGAATGATAGAATGAATGATAATGACATAACATCTTACTATTGCAGGGGTTCTCAACTCTGGCCCTCGAGGTCCACTGTCCTGCACAGTTTAGCTCCAACCCTAATCAAACAAACCTGCCAGTAACTTTGTAGTAATCCTGAATACCTTGATTAGCGTGTTCAGGTGAGTTTGATTAAGGTTGGAGCTAAACTCTGCAGGAAAGTGGACCTTGAGGGCCAGAGTTGAGAACCCCTGTACTATTCTATGGTCCCTTGCAGACTGCATGCAAAAACAACATTCAGTGTGACCAGTGTTGTCCGGTTCATAAACAATGATTCTTATGAGTGGGTTCTTTTTAGTGAATCAATAACATACAGTGTGACCAATGTAGCCTGATTCACGCACAAATGAGCTGGTTATTTTTAGTGACATCCAAAAAGATACATTGTGACAAGTACAGTCCGATGCACTAAGAAATGACTCAAATCAGCCAGATTTGCGGAGGAAGCATGATATATGTTTTGTTTGCAGCTAAGAAGTGACTAAAGACTGTATTAAGCAGTGGTGGAGGTAACGAATTACAACTACTCACGTTACTGTAATTAATTAAGTAGTTTTTTCGGGTACTTGTACTTTTTTGAGTATATTTCTAAAGCTGTACTTTTACTTGTACTTAAGTACAAATTAAGCAAAATAATCTACTTCGTTTCTTTTAAATCATAGTTCATTACTGAGTATGCCCACAATTTGAATTGATATTCAAACCTTTGACGAAACTTCAGTAGCCAATAAAAATAAGATAAAGGCATCCGATCGTGAAGGGACCAATAAAAGCCCTGATATCTGAACCGGGAAAAGCTGCCGCTGCAGCAGGTGAAGAGTTGATCAGACAGTGAGGGAGCTCAGCGTCATTTATGGACTCAAAGTTTGGAGAAGTTACAAACATTAACTTGCGTGTTTTGCTCATGACCAACTGTGTGGTTTTTAACGTGTAGAAGGCGCAATGTAGAGGGGGAAACCTAAATGTCGTGGCCACGATTTAGGAATTTGTTTTATGAATTCACGATTTATTAATACGCTCCTCCATTTTAGGTAAATCACGGACACGTAATTAACGTTAGTGCCCTAGTTTAAACCGCGTCCATGATCTGAATTACTGAGGTATCAAATTTGTACAACATGGCCCCGATTTATCTTAACAAGGGAACGAATTGATCAAAGGCTCCGTAGATATAAAAATAACAATTTAATTTAGCTATATCGTGTGAGAATCTGATTTACCTGCTTTTTCTTCGGCTTCGGCTTCAAGTAAAAGAAAATGGCGGACACAGACTGGTGGCCTAGCGTTAAGTGGAGGCGTGGCTTTTTATGCCACTTTGGGTGAAATTTGAAAATACACTTAAATTTCACACTGACACTGTCTTACAAATAACAACAGCAGTGTTATTTTATCACCATGTAGTGTTAAAACAATGACAACACTGTTAATTTTACACCATCCCTGAAAATTCTACACCAGTGATTTTGCTGTATACATGGTAGTGTTATCATAAATATCTATATTTTGAAACCGATACTGAAATATCTGACACGGTTCCATTACTCATTTTCCACAGTATCTACCGTATATAGCCTACACCGATACAAGCTGCGTCTCTCTTTCCTCACCGACAGTGAGTTTGACACGCATCCACCTCCTGTCGATTATGCAGGATTGCAGGTATTATAATTTAATCATTCCTGCGCAAATGTGGCGAACACTTTATTGTAACATGAGAACACAGTCATGTAATCGCAGATACTTAGAATTAGATATAAAAATCTGAGAATTTATTAGCAATTGGCTAATATTAGACATCATTTAGTCGCCCAGAGTAAGATTTAGTCGCATATGCGAGTGATTTACTCGCAATGTAGAGGGTTGTGGCTGTAAGAGAAATGCATCAGAAAGTCTTTCAAGAATCAAAGATGGAACTTTAATTTCTTTTACAATGTAAGTTTATGCTAGAAATGTTTCGGAATGGGATATTTGTATGATTTGTACATATAAATATCCTAGTCTGTCTAACTCCATCACTACTACCTAATTTATACAAATGAACTGCCTGTCCTCTCACTCCGATATTGCTTGTACGCACTCGGACTGTGTGCAATCGCGATCTCTCCGTGCTTTTAAAGTAGAAATTCTTTCTCTTTGCTCCTAAGAGAAATGATTAATTATTAAATTATTACACTGCAAATTATTAAACTTTGTCAAAAGTTATCAACCATTCAGAATAGATCCACACCTGACCGATGAAAATGCTACTAGAAATTTTATTATTGTACAGACATTACAGGTCAAAGCCATCTGATGTTCCATTTATCTAAATAAATAGCATAGCCAATATGGCTCTTAAATCACTGCTTATAAAAATTCATTTTGTCATATTTCAAATACCTCAACTGAATTGAGGTCATTTGTTTTATAATTTTATTACTGACTGTGTACGTCTTTTTCTGTAAATTCAATTCAGTTTGAAATCAAAGTTGAAATCAAGCTTCCTTGTGCTGTAAGCTTTTGCAACAAAGTTACCCTATTTTAAAGACACAAATACACAGAATGAGTAAATGTTTAAGATTGAGATTTTTGTTATGGTAATTGATCAAAGAAGATAAATGTAGATAAAGTAGAATTAAAATAGAATAGAAAGTGTTAGAGTTAGAGGGTCAAATAAAGGTATATATATATACCTTTATTTGACCTTTATTTGGGGGGGGGAATCAAAAATACTGATAAGATAATAATGATACGAATTAATAAGAACAATATAAAACGCACTAAGGATTAATGAGCTACTGGATTCATGAATATTAATCAGGTTGTG